ATATATCCCCATGAAACTAGCAATTACAAAAAACAAGAAATTCAGTCTTTGCGACTTTATGTAAATTTGCACATATAAGTGTTCACGTGGTGATTTGCATGAATTCATTAACAATATATAGGTAGTTCAGATTCTCTTTGAACGTTTCTGAGCAGGGACAGTTACCACAGTTCCAGTTTTATTTCATGCAGTACTCATCAAAGGCTCCTACTTGTAAGTGTCTATGCTTGTTTCATCTTCACAAAGGTCTTCGACTTTATGTAAATTTGCACATATAAGTGTTCACGTGGTGATTTGCATGAATTCATTAACAATATATAGGTAGTTCAGATTCTCTTTGAACGTTTCTGAGCAGGGACAGTTACCACAGTTCCAGTTTTATTTCATGCAGTACTCATCAAAGGCTCCTACTTGTAAGTGTCTATGCTTGTTTCATCTTCACAAAGGTCTTTTTCACTTTCTTCTTTCAGTTGTTTAAGCTTTGTTTTGACATTTTCATAATCCTCTATAGAATCTTCAAGCTCTTCATGAACTCGTTTAAATAACTCCACTGCCTGGAAATGAAAAACATTTGGCCCATACATGTGTGCTTAATGATTCAAACAACTTTAAATTCACTTACAATTTAGGTAAAACATTATTCCAAACATTTCCCTTCCATAGTAGTTTTTTAAATGTATACAGTACACTGCTATTGTGTTAAACTAGTCCTGGGGAGACATGAACAAACATCTATTCACTCCAGATAAGGAAGCAACAAAAGACCAAAGGACAGCATCAAAATCATACTTGATAAACCAATGAGTTTTATTGGGGTTACTTACAGAGTATAGGTGAGGGCTTACTTAAAGGGGCAGAGGTGACTCAAAAACAGCTCTGTCACCAACTGCTCACCCCACCACTGGGGTGACAGCTCAGGAAAGCTGCACAACCTGCAGGCTGCACAACTGGTTGGAGAGTGTCCTGACCAGACACCTCAGTCAGTCTGAGCCTCTCCCAGGCAGATCAGCTGGTCTGAGGGTATCTCTTAGCAGTCCTTAGGGCTTGCTTATATATGCTTGTGGAGGAGACTTGTGAACCTGATCAGTTTCATGGACTTCTTCAAGCTATTGAGTTGTTTGCTTCCTGAGTTTAATGAGATCCCCTCAGGATAGAAAGTTTCTGCTTTCCTCAAAGCATCCTGTCCTTTAATTTTCTAAATTTAGAACATCCTGGTTTTGACCTGCTTTGGCACATTCTGTTGTTCACTTTTCTGTATTTAGAACATACTTCTGTTCACATAGCTTGAGACATTCTGTCTTTTATCTTCCTAAATTTAGAACATCCTGTTAGACCCTCACTCCAGATATCCTGTTGTTTACTCAGCTTCCCTCCAAGATGGAAGGTGTGATGCTTAGATAATAGAGTTCTGTTTCTTTAATCCTGATTGGCATTAATGCTAGAGAATTATAAGAACTACAGGCAAAAATAACTTTGATACCCAAGTTAACATGCTCAAATACTGTGCAAATACCATTTTGCTGTAAAGAAATATGAAATCCAAGATGAACTGTTGGATAGGCATGTCCTCTGAGAGAACTAGAGACAGTCACCCCTCCCACCCAATTGGTCAGCTTCAATTGCATGAGGGGGCAGTCTGATGACAGATGCTGAGGTAGCCGGGAACGACAGAAGGTCACCATCTTGGTGGGATTCTGGCAGCCCACTGGAGGTAGTGGATCTCAAAAGCTCAGTCGGGATGCAGAGGAAAGAGCCCATGGGTGTTCATGTCTTTGTAAGCGACCCCCCTCTCAAGTAGTATAAACTTAATTTGCAAGCCCAAATAAATATCCTTTGTATTAGTCACTTTTCTGTTGCTGTGATAGAAACACTGACCAAAACAACTTATAGGAGGAGAGTTTATTTGAGCTTATAGTTCCAGGAGAATTAGTCCGTTATGGCAGGGAGGCATGGTGACTGGAGGTGGCTGGAGCAAGAGCAACAGAAGCTAAGCTCTCACATCTTCAAGCTGGCACAGGAAGCAAGAGAGCAACTGGAGATCCTGCAAGGCTTAAGAACTCTCTAAGCTTGCCCCCCATGACAAGTCTCCACCAGAAGAGCCACACATTCTAAGACCTCCCAAAACAACGTCACCAGCTGGAGACAAAAATGTCCAAATACTTGGAGCCTATGGGGGACATTCTCATTCAAACTACCACATTCTTACTTCCCAAAGTGTAACTTAGAGGGATATTGTGTTGGTCCTGTTGGTCAGCCATTGGGACAGTGGGACCTGGGAGCTGAGAGGGGAGAATTTGGTGTCACATGAACAGAGAAAATTAAGTGACTTAGGCTTCCTAATGAGAAATAACCATTATCTTCTGGTAATGGTCCAAAATATTTTATTTAGTTATTTATTTTTATTACATAATAATCTCAACATCTCTGCCTTCATTTCTCTTTTCTGTTTGTTTTCCTGCCCACTTCTCTTACTGAATCAGACCATCTTCAAGTCACACAGCACTCACTATCTTCTCATGGCCAGCTGCACGGACATTGTACACCACTTGATCTGTAACACAGAACAGCAATGCAACATGCTGCAAGGAGAATTTTTCAACCTTAACTATTTTCTTCAAATTTACTGGTAAGAGAGAATGTGCTGGGTAAGGAAGTTCATTAATAGCAGTTGTCAAATTACTGTCTAGGAACAAAGCAAAGGCCTGGTTTCTCACCAGCAGAGCAGAATGATACCAATGCTCCAAAATGCTTTCCAACATTTTAGTTTTTCCTGGAGAATATTTTTTAAATGTTGTATATGTAAAGTTTACCTGTTGATGATTGTAATATAACAATTTGGACTATTTTTTAAATGCTGTGTATGTAAAGTTTACTTGATGATGGTAATATAACAATTTGGAATGACTGATTTTTTTATTATAGGATTTCTGGTCTTAGAACATATTTTGCCTACATTGTCTCTTTGTTTTCCTAAGGGTAGACATATTTGTGTTTAAATTGAAAAATATTTTAATATTTTACTGTTGGGAATATGAATATTCAATTTATATGTTGACTGGCAAATATGGAGAAAGATAACTTGCTCATATTGGTAAAAATATATTTAGAAGTCCTCAGTTGATTAAATGCAGACTTATTTAGGAAACAGAAGTCTTTACTTTGATATTTTACTTTTAATATAAAAACAATTTTTCAAAAGCACCAAAAATAGTTTTATTTCCTCACTTAAAATATTTCATTCCATTTTATTGTCTTATCACACTGGTAAAAATCTCTAAACAATTTTAACTAATGCACCTAATTTGTTCCCACTGTTCTTTTAATGTCTTCAGAATTTCAGTGGTTAATATGTATGTTGGTGATTTTTAAAAATAACTCTTTTTTCAAATGTGAGAAATTTCTATCTATTTGTCTATCTGTTATTAGCAGTTTTTGAAATTTTTCTAACACGGGTTTTGCTGTATTTGTTAGGCTGTCTCAGACTGTGTACCCTCCTGTCCACACCACTCAATGTTTGGATTTCATCAGTGTATGCCATGTCTGGCTGTAGCTTTTGAATTGTAACAAGTGCATCTCAGGAATCTTCTGATATAAATCATCTTTTCCTTTGATCTTGTTGATAAACTAAATTTTATACTTAATTTCCTATTTTTAAGTCATTTCTACATTTTCATAATGATTGTTATGAGTGACATTTTATTGTGGTGAAGGATTCTTTTGCAAATATTTCATGTAATATATAAAGTATATTTTTTAATTTTTATTTTAAACATATTTTATTGTTTTTATTATATATATGTGTATTACTTGCATGTTGTGTAAGTGTATGTGGTGGCAGGGCTATGATAATGTCCTCCATAAGCTCCAAGTACTTGGGCATTTTGTCCCCAGTTAGTGGCGCTGTTTTGGGATGTCTTAGAAGGTGTGGCTGTCCTGGAGGAAACACTGGGGTGGGCTTAGAGAGTTCTCACCCCTTGCTGGATATCCATTCACTCGCTTGCTTCCTGTGCCTGCTTGAAGATGTAGAGATTAACTTCTGCTCCTCCTCCAGCTACCTCTGCCATCATGCCTCCCCACCATGATGAACTTGTGCCCCTTTGGAACCATAAGCTCAAATAAACTCTTCCTTCTATAAGTTGCTTTGGTCAGTGTTTCTATCACAGGAATAGAAAAGTGACTAATACAGTAATTGGTACCAGAGAGTGGGCTGTTGGCTGTGAAGAACCAGACCATGGGAGTTTTGGAAGAATGTGGAAGATTTTGGAAATTTGGGCTAGAAAATCAGTTGATTGCTGAAATCAGAGCTTAACAGGCCATTCTAGTGGGCACCTGGAATAAAGTAACTCTGAGAACAGTGTAGTTCCAGAGGGAAAGAAGAACTTAAGCTGCAATTGGGATATTTTGGCAAAAAGTCTGGCTGGAGTCTGCCCTCGACCAAAAAGCTTGCCTGAGGCTAAGTTGAAAAGTCATGGACTAATTTCTCTGGTGGAAGAATGGTCAAGACAGCCTAATGTAGAAATGGTGGCATGGCTATTAATGGTGAATATTATACAGATCTACAATGAAAAAGAGCAAATGGGGCAGAAAGAAATACAGAATGTACAGTTTGAAATGAAAAAGAGCACTAGGAAGACAAATGGTGCAGTCAGGGCATGTGCTGGAGAGGATTCCTTTAATAAAATTAAAGTGATTAAGGAGGGGCCTAGAGATTTGCACTTAAACAATGGAGAGAGTGCCCCCAGGGCAAGACCACACCCAGTTAAACCTGTAACTTGTAAAAGGAAAATGCTGCAGGGGCCACCAAAGAGAAAAGCTTCTAAAATGGATAAAGCAGGCTGGGGTCCATCCCAAACTTGCAGTCAACCTTGGTAGGTGTGGTTCACCTGGTTCATGAAAGATGCAAAAGTGAAGGGGTCATCAGTTCTTCCTCCATGGTTTCAGAGAGCTGCCAAGGCCAGGAAGCATGCAGTAAGGGTACTCCTGCATAAAGAAGGTCCTGATAGTCCATTCCGTGAAGCTCTCAAGATGAAGCCTGGTTGGCAATGGAGACCCCAAGAAGACATTCATGATGCCAAAGGTGTGAGACATCTGCCAAGAAGACCTGCATACAGGGAGTGGTTCCAGCCCAAGAGAGAGATGTATGTTTCATGTAGCAAAGCTGGAGAGGCTGAGCCATCTAAGCCCTTTGGAAGTGAAGCCTCAGAAGTTGGACATGGAACTACTGGATTTGGTATTTGCCCTGCTTGTTTCCAGACTTGTTTTGGGTTTTGGTCCAGTATTTCCTCACTATGCCTCTACTTCTCCCTTTTGGAATAGGAATGTGTATTCGGTTCCACTGTATGTTGGGAGTATGCAATTTGTTTTTTGATTTTATAGGGGCTTAGAGCTAAGATATTTTCCTGAGTCACAGAAGAAACTTTGGACTGTGGACTTCTGAATAGTATTGAGAGTGGCAATGACTATGGGGATTTTTAAGGTTGGACTAAATGCATTTTTCATTTTATATGGTCATGAGCCTTTGGGGGCTAGGGGGTGGAATGTGGTGGTTTGAATGAAAATGTCCCTCATAGGCTCCAAGTATTTGGACATTTTGTCCCCACTTGGTGGCACTGTTTTGGGAGGTCTTAGAAGGTGTGGCTATCCTGGAAGAAGCATGTCACTAGAGGTGAGCTTAGAGAGTGCTTAAGCCTTGCTGGATCTCCAGTCATTCTCTTGCTTGCTGTGCCTGCTTGGAGATGTAGAGCTTAGCTTCCACTCCTCTAGCCACCTCTGCTTCCATGCCTCCCTGCCATGATGGACTTGTGCCCCTTTGGAACCATGAGCTCAAAAAAACTCTCCCTTCTATAAGTTGCTTTGGTCAGCGTTTCTATCACAGCAACAGAAAAGTAACTACTACAGTATACCTATGTCATGCAATGCCCAGAGAAGTTAGAAGAAGGCATTAGATTCCCTGGAACTGGAATTATGGACAGTTGTTAGCCACCACATGGGTGCTGGAAATCGAATCCAGGGGCTCTGCTGATCTTTAGTAAAGAGCAGTCAGAACTCTTTAGTGACGGGGCATCTCTCCAGTCTGCAAAAATATCTATTAGTGAATTTTTCACAATTTTCATAATATTCTGCCATTGAAAATGCTAACTTCACTTTATTTAAACATTGGCTTCCTTCTGAATTTTAGAATAATACTTGGGTGTTTTTTTTCTTCATAGGCTTATGCAAATCAGCTACAACATCACCAAATCTAGAATCTGTCATCAAGTGCAGTAAGTTCATATTGTTTTTTTTTTCTTTCATCCTGGATCCTGGAGCAATATCTACATAGTTTAAAATTTCCATGTAGTTAAGTTATATTCTAGATAGCATATAATTTTTCTAAGTAAATGTGATGTTGAACATACATCTTTTATAATTTATGCTTTTATGGTTATTTCTCCAAGCCAACACTATGTAGCATAAAATGAACTATGTCTGCGTGTGCAGTTCATCCCTCAGCACATTTGCTAGGTTCAGCATCCTCTTCTCTGTCTTGTAACACTGCACCTTCACTTCTCCCAAACAAACTCCCAAGCCATTGAACAGCTATATTTTTCTCCATTTTAAAAGATGCCTCTTGCATCTGTGCATGTGCAGTGACCATGGATAGAGCTAGCTAAATACCAGCTGCTCCCTGTGGAGTGGCTGATTTGAGTCATGTTACCAAGTTCTGTAACCCCTGAAAGAAGAGGACAGGTTTATTGAGGCTGGGCATGCTATCCCAGGAACTGGTGAAGTATTAGTTTAATCCATTTCTCAAGAGAAGGCATGAGTAGGCTTCAGGTTGGGCCTTGACATCCCCACACACCTTCATCACTCCCTGTCCTCTGATAGGTGATTAGTTTCCAGACTCTTTTCTGGCTTCATGTGGCATGAAGTGATGGCATTATTAGATCTCTCTTGTTCAGTGTAAATGTCTACAGCTAGGAATTTCCCCTTGGATATTATTTTTCACTATTTTCTTGGCATTCCATGTTTTGGTATGCTCTGTTTTCATTCCTTGCTATCTCACATAAACACTAAACTTAAGGCACTGGAGCTATTATTACATCATTTTGAAAATGAAAATCCAATGCACAAAGGTTTGTAACAATTATCCAAGATCTGAATGCTCACAGTAGGGATTTGAACACACAAACACATGAACGCCTACTCCAGAATCTGCTCTCTGAAACATTCCTCTGCCCCTTCCCTGCGGTCTTTGCTGTGCTTCTGTTTCTCTCCGAGGAGGTCTTTGGTTCCTACAGTGTTCATAACTCTGTTTCTCATTTTTGAGTTTTGTCAGTTATGTTCATTTTATAAATGGGAAATGTGTTTTCTTTTCCTAAGTATCAATTTTCTTCTGCCTTGTCACTGTAGCAGGTTTTCATACTTTGGCGACATGACATATATAACCCTGCTTAGTAGTGTCTCAATGCATGATGGGGAATTACTTTCCCTGGCACTGTGCAGCCACATAATACTTTTATTATGGCTCCTGGTTCCCACTACAGAAACCAAGAGGGCAAGACTCACATACCTTGACCCCTGGAATCACCAGAACGAGGCAGGCTGCAGTAAAGGAGGGCCAGCCCAAGCTCTGATGGAGTTATTCACCATGCACTGAGCAGAGCAATGAGGCTGAATAAGAGAAGAGTAGTCATGACACAAAGATGGCCACATTAGGGTTTTTAAGGAAATGGACCAACAGGAGACACAAAGGCCCATGGAGAAGGATTTATGTTAAAGAAATGGCTTGTGCAGTTATAGAGGTCCCGAATCTACAGTGTGTCCACACAGGCCTGAGACATGGGATACATGAAATTCAGGTAGAAAAGTCTCTGCTCACAGAGTTTCATTTTGCTCAGAAGTCAATATTGATGCTGTCAAGAACTCGAGGAGATTGGGCAAGGCCCACTCATATGAAGAGGGTAATGGGCTTCGTTTTGGATCCACTGAGTTATATGTTCATTTTGTCTAACACAAACACCTTTAATGTGGCCCCACCAAGCTGACACAAACATAACAAGAGTATCTCTGAAAGGATTACACAAAGCCCATTGTTTCCCTGGTCTGTATGAACAGGGTCTCGTGCTTTCCTGCCATCACCAAGCCTACTGTTTAGGCTACCCAGCAGCATTGCCTTCTGTACCCACAGTATACCCGTTGTCCACACCAACCTACCAAAGGGACACTGATTTAAATAAACAAGGACAGTAAAACGAGACAATAAAACTGTTGAGGACATCCTGAAGTATGCCAGTTAGGTTGAGGTTTGGCTAGAAATAACTGGAAAAAAAAAGCCAAATAAATTTCTGACACAAGACTTCAGTTTACTCTCCATTCCCATGACTGGAATACCCATCTCCTTTCATCTTTCTGTTCAGCATCTTTTCTCCTGGCTTCCATCCCTAAGTTTCCTTCACGCTGTGCATGAAGTCTGAGCTGTACTGTTCTGAAATGTCTGATGGCATCAGATCCTCTGAACTGTTAACTGTTGTTGGCTGCCATGTGGGTGCTGGGAACCAAACACGGTCCTCTGCAAGAGCAGCCAGTGCTCTTAACCACTGAGCACTCTCTCCAGACCCTCACCTCAGTTTTTTTATGGTAGCACTCCTCCAGGGCCTCGAGCTCCTGCTTCCGCTTTGCTTCCAGCAGAGGTGCATGGTGTTGCATGTAGTCGATGTCCTTCTGGATCATGGCATTCGTCTCTTCCAACATCGCCTTCTGCCCCTCCAGCTTTTCTAGCTTTTGGGCCCTTTCTTCAAGGTGGCAGCGCAGTTCTACAATATCCTTCAAATAGGCTTCGTGTTCTAGATGTGGATGGAAACGAGAAAAAAAGGCATTTGGATTTTAAGTGAACCATCTAGAGAGAAAAGTTTGATGATATACAAGGATATTTTAGTTTTAAATTACTCATCTATGAATCCTCTTTTAAGATTTGTCTTTGTTATTTATAATGATGTGTATGGGGGGTATGTATACCTACCTTTGGGCAGGTGCCTGTGAAGGCCAGAGGTATCCGATTCACTGGGATTGGAGTTATGAGCAATTGTGAGTCACCCAACCTGGGTGCTGGGAACCAAAACAAGGTTCACTGCAAGAGCAGTATGCAATGTTAATCACTGAGCCTTCTCTCCAGGCCCTTGTGTACCAACTTTCATAAGGGCTGTTTTATTACTGAATCTCAAAGACCACTTTCTTCATCACCAAAAGGATCAAAACATGCTTTAAATTGGTAATTGCTTTAGTATAAATCCCATTTATTATGGTCAGTAGATACCTTGATCATTCTATACATAAGCACTATACGGAATTATGTTAAAGAAATAAGTGAATGAAAGAGGACAGGCCTTCCAGAGCGACATAAATGGAGAGTGATAAAACCAGAGATGCATATTTCAATATAAAAGAGGTGAAAGTAATTATTACTTTCAGATGATCCAATTATATACTAAAACATACCAAAATCAACTGGAACATTTTAGAAGGATGGAATTGGTTCATTGAAATTAACATATAAAGTACATTTTCTACGATAAGGATGTAGTTCTGTTGGTAGCGTGCTTGACTAGCATTCATGAAGCCCTGGTCTCCATGTCTAGCGCCTCATAGAAGGCATGGTGGCACATGTCTGTAATCACAGCACTCAGGAGGTAGAGGCAGGAAGTTCACCAGCAGAAGATCTTCAGCTACATGGTTCAACGCCAGCCTGGGATACATGAGACTAAATGTAAATGCGTCTATATTAACTAATAGTATTGATTACTAATTAATGGTAAATATATCTATGTAAAGACTATGCTGAAAAGAACAATTTCACAACAAACTATATAACGAGAGAAGCAGCCCATACACAGTGATAGCCCTGCTCATCAAGGCTGCCCAGGAGAGAAATCAAATACAGTAACAACTTAAAGTAAATGAGAACAAAGGAATAAAATTTATCTGTTCTGCATTAAAGTGTTTGACATTTTAAATGTGGAAATTATGTTCAGTTACTCTATTTACTTGACATAGGCAAGGATAAATGAAGGTAAATTAGCTAAAAAATTTCTTCTTTATATTAACTTTCTAATGTTAACCTATCTTACATTGGTAAAATAAAGCAAGCTTGATTTGCTTTTTAAAATTATTCTGAAATAGGGGGGCTGGGGAGATGGCTTAGTGGTTAAAGAGCACTGACTGCTCTTGCACAGGAGCTGGGTTCGATTCCTAGCATTCCATGGCAGCTAACAATGGCTCCAGGTGATCTGATGTCCTCTTCTGACCCCTTCAGGCATTGCACCACACAGGTGCACTTACATACAAACAGGTAATACACTCATACATATAAAATAAAAACAAAAATACAATTTCTTTATTATATTACCTTTCTAATGTTAATCTTACATTGATAAAATAAAGCAAGCTTGATTTGGTTTTTTTTTTTGCAATATTCTAAAATATGGGGCTGGAAAGATGGCTCAGCAGTTAAGAGTATGGATTGTTCTTGCACAGGACCCCAGTTCAGCTCCCAGCATTGACAGGCTAACAACTGTCTGTAACTGCAGTTCCAGAGGAATCCAATGCCCTCTTCTGACCTTGAGCATATTGCATGACACAGGTGTACTTACATACATGCAGGCAATACACTCACACATTAAATAAAAATAATAAATAAAATATTTAGAGGCTGGAAAGACGGCTCAGCAGTTAGGAGCACTAGCTGCTCATGCAGAGGGTGGCAGTTCAGTTCCCAGAATCCACACGGCAGTTGACAGCCATCTGTAACTCCAGTTCCAGGGGATATGACGCCCTCTTCTGACCGCCACAGGCATTATGCAACACAGGTGAAGTCACACACATGCAGGCATAACACTCATGCACATAAAATAAAAATAACATAAAAAATCTTAAATACTCTAAAGGAAATTATGGGATCTGCTCATACCTTTATTCAGTATTTTTGTGAATTCATGTTCATGAGTTGGGGCTGGAGTTTTTCACATTTATAACAACTTCAGCTCATCTTGGTGAATGATTTACAGTAGATTCCTGATATCAGCTACAGTCTCTATTTCCTTTCTCTGGGACTCTGGAAGTTTAAATTATGTACAAAGCTCCCGTGCTCTGCTGTATATACATGAATATTTTGTGTACAAGTGTTTTGGCTACTGAGTTAAATTTTTCTAGTAATGCCTAGATGAACATATTGGCCATGTTTATTCATTAATCCATATTATAAGAAACTAATTCTTAATATTTTCATTACCATTAACCAGAACCGTAAGTTAAATGTGGTTATGCACGTCTGTCAATCCAGTATGCATGTGGCCGAGGAAGGAAGAAGACACGTTCCAGGCCCATCTGGATGACACAGTCAGACGCTACGTTAAAAGGAAGGATGGGGAAGAGGAGGAGGAAGAGGCAGAGAAGACAGGAGGAAGAATGAACAGAGGTGGAAGGAAAGAAGGAAGAAGGGAGGCAGGAGGGACGGGAAGAGACAGATGAGAGGGGAGGGAGGGAAAGAAGACGAGGAGCAGGAGATAAAGGGAGGACAAGAAAGAAGGGAGAAAAGGAGGAAGTTTTCCTTTCCCTACAACCTACTAGGATATAGAATATCCTAAGGAACCTACTCTGACCCTACCATTATCTCATCATGTCTAAGATTCATGCATACATTTACAAATCAGATATGTATGCAGTACTGCATTAGTAGATCATTCATGTTATAAACTCTTATGAAAGAAAATTTTATAAAAAGAACAGCACTTAAGAATGTAAATAGGAATTATGGGCTGGAGAGATGGCTCGGAGGTTAAGAGCACTGACTGCTCTTGCAGAGGACCCAGTTCGATTCCCAGTAACCACCTGGCAGCTAACAATTGCCTGGAACTCCAGTTCCAAGGGATCCACGGCCTCTTCTGACTTCCAAGAGCACTGCATGACACGGGTGCACTTACATACATTCAGGCAATATACTCACATATATAAAATAAAAATAATACAAAAAAGAATGTAAATAGAAATGATAACATTTCCTTGTAACTCCCCAGAATGTATATGTACACTTCAGAGATGAGAGTTTTGGAAGATTTGATATCATGACAAAGGCTTATGGTGTATTCATCACCACTTGTACATCATTGAAGTTTACTGTCCCAGAGTAATGACTAACATGACCCCATTTCTCCCAAGAATTTTTCAGATTATGTGATAGATTGCATTGGTATCCATTTAAAAATATTAGAAAGCTTATGACTCTATATAACAAAATTTTACCACATGAAGGGGTAAAAATTTTGAGTTGAATCAGGTAGACAGGAATGATTTGATAGGGGTGTTTGGAAAATACAACACCTAGCACTTTTAGATTGTGTAATATTTCACCCTAGCTGCTCCAGCATATGGTCTAAAACACATTTTCTTCTTCCACATTTGTTATCTATGTGACTTGAAAATGCGTTAGTCTCCGTTGCTGCTAAGCATTCCTTTCAAAGTGGATTTCCTTGAGTTCTCATAAGCAAACCCACACTATGCCCAGCAGATCAGTCAAAATTTCTAATTTTCCTACATTTAAGAGTGTGGCTGAGGATATAACTGAACAGCCGCTTTAAATTTCTAATACACTGGATTCTACTGTCAACATGAGCAAAATGTGTTAAATGGTCACAAATTCCTGGGGTGTGCGAAAGGAATGGATTTTCCAACACACTGAACTGCCCACAGTCCAGGTTTGTTCACTACAGCACCAATTTATATCTCTGCATTTGGCATAACTAATATCATCTTTCAAAAGTGCCTTGGTTTGTAAGCAAAGTACAGTCACTCAAATAGGGAATGCTGTGTCCAGAGCTGTGGGTCCTCTGTGCTCCTCTAACCAAATGACTCCAGGATGGAAAATCCTCATGATTACCTTTCTGCACAGCACTTGGGAGTTCCTGAAGTTTCCAGATGGACCAAGAATCAATTTTCATGCTGATCCTTTTCTTTCTTGAGTTTTGTTGTTTTAAAGCTTGCTCAGCTTCTGCCCGGTCAGTTTCTAGAGTTTTAATGAGATGGATGGCCTCTGATAACAATGCTTCCATTTCCTTCTTCAACTCAGGACACTTTTCATCTTAAAATAAGAACGTATATTCACATAGGCTATGTGATGGGAGCATGGTTCTTACTTCAAACACTCATTCAAATATTTATGTGTTTGATACAAGACTGTTGGAAAACTAAATCATTCTTTAAAAGACTGGTGGTTTTTTTTTTTTATCACAATACATCAGGGACAGACATAATGACACAGGCCTGTAATCTCAGTACTTGGGAGATTGATATAGGAAGATCCCTATGAGCTCTAGGTGGACTGGGCTTTAGAGAACCTTGCCTTGAGAACAAGCAAAGGAGAATTAAAAATATATAATGCAGGGGCTGAAGAGAAGGCTCAGTGGTTAAGAGTGCTTACTGCTCTTACAAAGGATCTGAGTTCAATTCCTAGCATCCACACAGCTGATTATAACTATCTGGAACTTCAACTCTGGGAAATCTAACACCCTCTCTGGCCTCCCTGGGCACCAGACACACACATGGTCCATGTACCTACCTGCAGGCAAATACTCATACACATAAAATAATGATTTAAACTATGTATAATGCAATCATAATGAGTAACACAAAGATCATAACCTATGGATACAGATTTTTCATTGAACAATTTATAAGATATCACATAAAACCAAAACTATTATCTTCAAGAAAAATACCACTATTTTAAAAGGGAAAATATCACAGAAGCTATTCTGTAGGTTTTAGTCTAAAACTATGCCTATGTTTTTTCTCCTATTTCCTAGGATACAAATCATGAGTAATTTAATTTATTGAGATTTACTCAGTTCCTAGAAAAGAAGCTTATCATATAATAACCTCTACTTAGCCTAGCCAAGAATTTATCAGAAATTTCCAAATTTTATTTATTCAGCCTTAATTAACTCTGTTGATGAGAGATGTTTGTGATTCCTGGTTCACAGCTCTGGAATAAAATGCCTTGATGTTAACAAAACATTACCAGAGGGATTCACTCATCTATTTGTGAACAAAATGTGTACGAAGCTTATTATTTTCCCCAGCAATAATAATATGCTTTCCTCTAGAGATAACAAGGAAAAGAAGACAGGGGAGAGTCTCCTTCTTGGAAGAGGAGGTTATAAACCCCGATTTTGCCATCATGTCAAAGCACAAGAAAGTATCCAGAAAGGAAAGGGTACCAAGGAGGTGAGGGTGGAGCTACGCATTAAAGGAAGAAGCAATTGATAAATCCCTTTTTGATTTTGCTTTTGGATAATAGAGAAGCACGACGGTCAGATGAAGAGTATGAAGGCAAGCTTGAGTCTCACGCACTCTTTCCTTCTACCCTAAAGGGCTTGTCAAAGAAATTCACATGTAGCTTGAAAATAGTTCTACTTTAACGCATGAAAATAATTTTCTCTAGTCTGCCCCTTTATTTGGTTTCTTTGAACCTGTTGCTTTTGCCAAATTCTTCCACATCCTTGATACTTTATATAGTTAATTGAATGTTTCTTTAAAAAAAATGTTCCTTACAGCTAGGCATGGTGTGCATGCCTTTAATCCCAGCACTCGAGAGGCAGAGGCAGGCAGATCTCTGTGAGTTCAAGGCCAGCCTGGTCTACATAATGAGTTCCAGGCCAGCAACAGGCAAGGATGTGATATTTAATATAATCTCAAGTATATATTTGGATATATCTGAGTAATATAAACTCAAATTTTATAATATTTACAATTTATACCTTTTTATCACATTGCAATGGATGATAACCACAATTTAAACAAGTGTTGTGTTCCAGATTCCCAATATGGAGACCACTGACACACAGGTATTTATATTCATTGTAAATTAAGATTAAGCTTAAGAATTAAGTTCCTCCTCACTAGTCACATTCAAACTGGTCAATAGCTGCTGGTGTAGAACACCTGGATCATCACAGAGAGTTTTATCAGTGACTATGAACTAAAATTAATTTCTCGTGTTGTGGGCAGGCCTCCTTCCATACCCAGGACTTAACAGCAGTGTCTGGTAGGGCAAAGTCATTAACAGAGACTCTTTGAATCGATTCTTCCTAGAATGACACATGGGGCTCTTTTCTCTGTTCAACATTCATAAAAATGATAAAAATCATGAACATGATTACTGTGCATTTTAGAAATATATTAGATACAAATTCAATGACCCAAAATAATTCCAATTATCTGAGTATGAAAAGCAAATTTACCCCTTGCTTCTTCAGAGTGGACTTCCTTCTTTGGTTCAGTGATACGCAAATCTCCCTTTTCATCTTTTGGGGCAGATGTTCTGCTCCTGTACAACAGGAAAGAAGCAATCGATTTGGATGAGACAGGAGTATTTAAAGTTAGTAAAACAAAAATGTGGTGATGCTTCTGTGGAATGCTGTTTAATTATACATGGTAACCCTACTAAATAGGGGACTGACATAGAAAAATTCTAACATCCAGTGGTATTTATACTCAATAAAGTATAATAGAAAATATTAAAAAATTTATGAATGACTTCAACTTTCTTGAGAGAAGAAATTTAAAATTTCTTTCGTTGTTTAGAAATTTGTAATTCCTAGAAATTTTACAAGAGAGGCTTTTTAAAAATGTGTGTGTGTATGTGTGTGTATGTATGTGTGTGTGTTTCTATATGTGGGCATGTGCACATGAGTGCAGGGGCCTGCAGAGGCCAAAAGTAGGCATTGAACACCCTCGGAGCTAGAGTTACAGGATGCTTCGGCAGCATTAAGTACATGCTGAGAAAGAAACGTGGGTCCTCAGCAAGAGCAGTACCATTCTTAACTGCCAAGGCAGCTTTCCAGTGCTAAGAGACAGGGTTTTATTTATAATATCTTTGATGTGATAAGAATTCAAGTTCAGATTAATGATATCTGGAAAACAAATGTAAACTATAAGGGGTAAATTTATAGCATTTCAGACTTGAAGTTAACAAGCTTTTGGAAAAATGCCCAAATTAAAATGTTTTGGGGGCTGGAGAGGTGGCTCTGCAGTTAAGAACACTGCTCTTTCGGAGGGTCTGGGTTTGGTTCCCAGCACTCACACGATGGGTGTCAACCACCTGTAACTACAGTTCCAGGCGATCCAACACCTCCATAGGCACTGCATACATGTAGTACACCTACATACATGCAGGCAAAACACTTATAGGCATAAACTAAAACAAATATTTTCTAACTGGAGTTCTATAGCTAGAATAATAAAACATTTCTCATTGTCAGTATTTCTCTGATCTATTCTGGAATCCTAAATTAGTCTTCCTGTGTTTTAAAAACTTCTTTTTTCAATGATAAACGTTTTTATTATTTTTATTTTACGTGTGTGAGTGTATTGCTTGCATGTATGTAAGTGCACCCATATTCCCATGGAACTGGAGTTAGGGAAAGCGGTTAGCCACTATGTGGGTATTGGGAAGCAAACCTGGGTCCTCTGCAAGTGCTCTTAACCACTGAGACATCTCTCCAGCCCCTGATAAGTGTTTTAAAAAACCAGCATCAATGAAAAGCTGAGAATACCCCTATAAACTTTACCCTTATAAAATTATTCATTTTTGTTAAAGAATTATTAAAATTAATTAAAGTTCTGAGTCATCTAAAATAACTCTTATTCATTCATGTATTATCTTCAGAGACCACACAGACCACCACAGTCCAGTCACACTTCAATTGTGCTAAAATTAGTCAAAAATTCTGCATCCTGCTTCAGTTACATGATATTATTTCCCATATGCTTTAATATCATCTAATCCCTCTATTATTATTCTAATTTTGTTCTGGAATTTGTTTCAGAGATGCACTTACTGTTTTCTTCTTTACCTTTCATTTTTATTTTGAAAATTTTTTTGTTGAAAAACATTCTTTTTCTTCTCTGATTTAAACAACAGAAAAATAACTGTCCCAGAATCAATGACTAAATACTTTTGGTGTCAAATGCTAATTTCATATTATATGAAATTGTTTTAAGCAACTGACTGCATTTTTGTGAATTGTCTTCTGAAGTGTAGTCCTAATTCTATGTTAATTCATTGCACTTTTTAAGTCAAATTACATTAAATTTACCATTTGTTTAAGCAGTCTCTTTCCCTTTCAAAGGTGTAATGCCAAATTCTCTCCTGGAGGACCTATGCATTGCTCTCTTGGCTCCCAGGAGCATGCTGTCCTAATGGCCAACCTACAAAACCTGACACCACGCATTCCATTTGGGTTTTTGTATAAGGTTTGTGATGTCCAAAAGAGAGCTACTTACAAAGGCATACAAGGATGGGCTCTTTTCCCTACATCTTGGCTGAAATTTTTGACATCCAATGCTGCCAGCCCCCTGCCAGATGGCGACTTCCGGCTGCTTCCCAGCTTCCTCAGCATCTGCCCTTAGACCCGCCCCCTCACGCAACTGAAGTTGGCCGATTGGATGGGATCGGTCACTGTCTCCCCCTTAATCTACAGGGTCTCTTAGGGTTCAGACTTCAGCTGCTGCTGGTTCATTTAGAGGACATGCCTATCCAACAAATGGATCTTCGTACTACCTAGTCTGCTTTATGTGTCTGTAACTAAGATGAATATTTCATATAAAAGAATTGTATAAAGGTCCTTCTTTGCACTTGACACCTTTACATGCTAGTGTTTTAAAGGTTCATCACAATTGTGTTATTAAACTTTTATTCCTTTTCTGACATAAAATTTTATTGCCTAGATAAACCACACTCAAGTTAACTTATTGGTGGATTTGTGATTGTTTCTTCCTTTTAGCTGTTGTGAATACTTGTGTTATCAACATTTGTATTTGATTTTGCTTGAAACTGATTTCAAATACTTTTGCTTTATCTAAGAGTGAAAATTCCTCGCTCTTAGGATTATTCAGGATTTTACATTTTGAAGAGCTACTGTCTTTCTTTTTAAAAATATTTGTATTTATTACTTTTATTTTATGTGTATGAGTGTATTGCGTGCATGTATGTAAATACACCCATGTTGTGCAATGCCCTTGGAGGTCAGAAGAGGGTGTTGGATTCCTCTGGGACTGGAGTTATGGACAATTTGTTGCCTTCCATGTGGGTGCTGGGCATCAAGCCCAGGTCCTTCTGCCAAAGTAGCCAGTGCTCTTAACGTTTGAGCCATCTCTCCAGACCCAAGCTACTGTCTTTAACAGTGTCTGGGTCACATATTTGGACCAACAAAGTGCAACGATTCTGATGTGGAGGAGAATTGGTAAGAACCCGCATAGTGGACTTGCTCCCCATCTTAGCTGAAGTTTTCATTTGTTACCAGTACGCACAGTATGAGCCAATGGTTTTCATAAATATCTTCCCTTGTTAGGGTGTTCCTCTTTTTTTAGTGTTTTATCATGAAATATATTGTCTGCTACGTACCTTTCCTATTAGGCAAGATGTTCAAGCAGGCATTTGCCATCACTTAAACAGTATAGAACTGTGTTGATCAATCATTTTAGATTGATTCACTCTAAAATTCATAGGAAAAAATCCAACTTTGTCATGATATTTAATTTTATTACTAGATTGCTGGATTCAATGCTAGATTGGTGGTATTTTGTTAAAGATTTTGGCATGCACATTTAAAGAGACACTGGTCTGAACCTTTCCATGACTTTATTGGTTTGGTTCCAGGTTATTGTTGGCATCATGGGCTAAGCTAGGATATATTTCCATTGCTTTAACTTTTTACAAGAATTTTTAAAAGAATAATACAAAGTCTTATTTCCTTATTAGAACTTGATTTTCTTTGTTCGGATGTTTGCTTTTGGCTTACTTGGATTTGGGGGGTTCCTTTGGTTATTTGTTTTGTTAAAAGTGTCTGGCAGGGCAGTCTTACCATGGAGCTCAGACTTGCCTCTAACTTGCCACCCTCCTGCTCTGCCTCCCAGGTACTTCAGTTCCAAATGTGACAACTAGATCTGGTCAGACACATTTTTAATTACCCATACGATCTCTTTAATTCTTGTAAGTCAGCAAACATTTCTGCTTCTTCCTGAGCCCGTGATGGTAGCTTATGTGGCTCTAGGCATTTGCCCATTTTATTTATTTTTTTTTTTTGCTAATTCTCTGTTATTCTGTAAAGGTGTATTTTTATTTTTTATATGTATAGGTATTTGTCTACATATATAGATATGCATCACATATATGCCTGGTACACATGGAGAATAGAATAGGGCTCTGGAGTCCCTGGAACTAGAGTTACAAAAAGTTGTGAGTTGTGAGTTGTGCTGGGAACCAAACCTGGGTCCTCTGGAAGAGCAGCCAGTGTTGTTAAATTCTGAGTCTATTTAGAAGCTCTTCAGTACAAAGTATTCTTTCTTCTCTCTTTTTTTTTCTACCCTCTTACTCTTAAGATAGTAATACAGGTATATTAGTATGTTTCCTTGTAGAAAGGTTTTTTACAAAATGGACATGATCTAGACTACTTACTCTTGCAATCAAACAGCTTCTGTTTATAATGCAAACAGCTCACTGAGCCACTTGCTTTTGTGACCTGGGCTTATGGCCTTGAACACTCCAAACCCAATTTTCCCTCCAGCACAGATAGTGAATGAGTGTGGGTGTGCCTGAATGAGCAAATTAAAGCACCAATGGCAGCCTTTTCATGTTCTTATAAATATGCCCATGGGAAGCAGTGAGGTTGGGAGCAGTGCATGCCATGTGTGGGGGAGATGTTTTAGGCCTAGGGATCAGAGCACAAGATTATCTGATGAGGGCGATCCAAGCTTGTACTTCCCCCAATTGATGCTGGAGACACCATTTTGTATAAAAATATGGGTGAGGTTGGACTTGGGAGCACATTTCTGGCGACATCTGGAGGGATGGCTGCCCTCTGAGTTTGGAGCCACTCTTAAAAATAAGTTAGGAGTCAGGCTATTTATTCCTCGAGTTCCTTTGTTACCTACCACTTCTGCTCTTTGGGATTCTTTTGCCCATTGTTCAGATGGATTCATCCCTCCGCTTAAATAGGCCACAGAACAACTACAGTGAGTTTGCAATTCTAGCTTACTCAACTTCCTTTCTAGCTAATTTTCATAATTTCTCTTTATCAATAGCCTGTATTTTTTGAGGTTTTATTCTCCTTATTTCACTTATTACTTCTGGTTTTCTTTATCTCACTGAAGATTTTTTTGTGTGTGTATGTGTGTGTTTGAGATAGAGTCTCCCTGTAGACCCAGCTGTCCTGGAACTCACTATGTAGACCAGGCTGGCCTTGAACTCACAAACATCTGCCTGCTGGGATTAAAGGCATGTGCCACCACACCCGGCTTCATTGAAGATATTTAAAACAATTGATTTAAAATCTTTGTCTACGCCTGGCTTGATCCCAGCACTTGAGAGGTAGAGGTAGGTGGATCTTTGTGAGTTCTGAGTTCAAGGCCAGTCTGGTGTACATAGTGAGTTCCAGGACATCTGGGACTACAAGGAGACCCTGTCTCAAAAACACAAAAAAATAAACAAATAAATAAAATCTTTGTCTAATAAGCAAGTCCAAATTCTAGGCTTGCTCAGAAGTAGTTTATAGTCTTTGCAAGCATCATGGGTTTTGTTTTTTTGTTGTTGTTGTTTGTTTGTTTTTATCCCAGAGAAGTGGGCATTTGAATACTTTCATGTGGCATGGAAATTAAATTTCCCCCCAGTGGATTTTTCATTCCTGCCTTCTCTGGACTGTTATTTGACTCTTTTAAATGCTTTGTGAAGCACAGTGGTGTGGCCAGTGAGTTCCACTTCTCTGGCTAACTGATGAGCTAAGTGTTTATCTCAGTTACCTGAAATGTCTGGAGACCCAAAAAGTGAAAAAAAAAAAAGAATGTTTGGCTCAACTTGGCAAATTGGGTCTGTATTGTGCAACTGGAACTATTCCCCTGTTTACTCAGACTGATTATAGCCTTGTCTTTGCCTAAGCTTCCTGCGTGCGCAGCATACAGTTCAACCAGAAGAAAATGAGTCTCGGTTACTCTCTGGGCATATTTCCAAACTTCGTCTCTGTACCTTTCTGGAGTCCCCAGTACATCAAAGCTTTGGAAGACTATTTCCTCAGTGTCTCCGCATTTCTTTTCCAGCTCTTCATCTGCAGCCTTTTCGCTCTCCATCTGTTGTTTGCTCTGGTTGTTATCCACTGACCCAGGTATCTGGGGCCAGTACAGAAACGCTGCCTGGCACCCCCACCTCCACCCCCACCCCAGCACTGCAATCAGGCAGCTCAAATCTCAAACAGAAATTTTTGGAAACACAGCCACATTTCCTACAGCACTAGCAATTTACACCTCAAGTGTGGGGTGCTCTCTGCATGGCTACCGGGGACACAGGAGGATTTAGCCCCAGTGCTCTGCAGCATTGCTAATAGCGTTCCCCTCCCCTTGGTTGGTGTAAACGCTTTACTAGATTCCAGATTTATCACAATGTTCGTTGCGTTTTTTTTAACCAGTGTCTTTATACTTGTAATGACATATTTTAATATTTCAGTTTTCTGCTCTCTTTGAAGTGAAATTTGGTGAACTTCAGGTTACCAAAAGGTCAACATTTAAAAAAAAATTAAAGTGAACATAAAAGCTTCTTACCATTCTTCAAATGAAGTTTCAAACTGTCAAAACAAAAGATCTCAGTAAAAATCAAATTTTAAACATCTCAAAAAATGATTGGTAAATTTCACTTAAAATGCACTTAAACAAGAGCTCACTATGGAACAGTCCATCACCTACTCCACACCCTGGTCAAGTCATACTTCATGTGTTTCGCCCTTTCTATGTTTTTACTATTACTCTCACAAGATCTTTCACAGTTCTCGTATTTGTGCTTCTAAGTGTTACCCGTTTCAAATGCTGCTTAGCCCCAGAACGCATTTCACACAGCCAGGGATGCAGGTAGACATGGGAACCTAATGAGTTACTGAAGAATTCTAAGCACAAAAACATGTGAAAATTCACAAATGTTTAGTTTAGCATCTCTTCTGCATAGGAATCTCTTCTTTAGCAAGGCTCATGCTCTACAGATCTCCTTACCAATACAATAGACTGTAAGACATAAACAGCCCAAAACTAAAGGACATGTATGTATGGATTTCATGAACAGATGTCAATTCAAGATGTTAAATTAAGAAAAACAATTTTCTTCATACACCATAGCCCAGCAAAATCTGCTCTCTTGCTCTCTCTCTCTCTCTCTCTCTCTCTCTCTCTCTCTCTCTCTCACACACACACACACACACACACACATACACACACAACAATGGGAATCCTAAAATAATAAAATCAGTGGATATATAGCTTAGATTTTTTTAAAGACTAGAAAGTGATCAGGTTAGATTGACAGTAAAAATACAACTCAGAGCAATTACAGAAGGTTAAATCTTCCTCGTTGAGTTTAAGAAATCCCCTGAACTTCAGAAGGAACAGATGAGATAGCCAAGTAAAAACACCGAAGGGCAGACTGTAGGCAAGATGAACAAACCAGTGTTACTATTTCTAGATAAGCCAAGAGCCCAGATTACACATGCTTTAGTGAACATCAACCGTGTGATGGTGATCTACCAAGGGTGCAAAGGCTGGTTAACCAGGGAATTATGGTCCTAGAGAGAAACAAACTAAGGCAGTGGTAACTAGTAGAATCTCACAGTGGGCACATACATTAGGAATACATCCAGGAGTGAACTGCTGTAAGGTACTTAAAACCTAAACTGCACACACACACACACACACACACACACAAATGCACATCTTCAACTTTCTAGCCTGAGCAGATTACCTCATACTTACAATGTGCCCCTTTAAGAATTTCTACTTATTGGATAGCAAGTTTTGATATTAGCAAACCCTGAGGTTGTTACATCACAAACAAAACCCATAAACAACACAGACAAGAATCCTTATGTTCTCAGCTGAGTCTATCACTTACAAATACAAAAGACAATGAAAACTACACACACACACTGGAAGAGATATTTAACATGAAAACAAGAAAGGTTACTTTAGATATAACAGAAATAGTGGAATAAAATTAAGTGACTAAAAGAATAAATTCAAGACATTTCTGTAATATTAAAAATAGAAACACTTGGGAGGCAGAGGCAGGTGGATCTCTGTGAGTTCAAGGCCAGCCTGGTCTACATAGTGAGTTCCAGGACAGCTGGGGCTACCTGTCTCAAAAAGACCAAAAAAAAAAAATATATATATTAAGTACAAGGGGTTGAGGCTATTGAACTCAGTGCTAGAATGTACTCATACAAAGTGTATTTATACCTAAAATCCTCTGGGTGCCTAGAATCATGTCAGAGGAGAGCTTCAACTGAGGAATTTCCTAGATCAGGCTGCTTGTGGACATGTCCTCAGGAGACTGTCTTTATTATTAATTGCTGCAGGAGGGCCCAGCCCATTGTGGGTTGAACACATCCTTATGCAGTGGGCCTGAGCTGCTGTTGCTAAAATTCCTTCTGGGAGGAGTGCAGGGTGTCCAGGTACCTCCTCCCACTGTCCTTACAATAAAATGAGGTACAATTTCTCCAAACTACAGTTTGGGGAACTGGAGTTTATTGGACTTTCATATAGATCAGTGGGTGACGGGGTTACTTATAGAACTGTGGGCATGGGTGGGCTCCCCTCTACATTGTGGCAGGGACCCTGTGACCTCCGTGTGGCTGCCCAAGATGGCAAAGACCACCCCTCTCTCTGGCTTCCCCTGTCCCTATCCTTAGTCCTTCCCCCTCCTATGGAAAGTTCATTTGTGGTGAGCAGAGCAAGCAGGTGAATCCCAGCTTAAGAAAAAGCATCTGTCCACCGCTTGTCAGTCTAGTTTGCCAGGTGGAAGACAAGTCCGTACAACAGCTGTATTGAAAAAGGCAGCTAACCATGGCCCTCGAATGAGCGAGATAGCAGGCCAGCTAGCAAGCGGCATGACCCAAGGCTCCCGCTGCACTGCCGTGGTTTTGAGTGAGTTCCCTGGTCAGAGATAATGCTGCAGGGAACAGCAAACAATCCTGCTTCAGGTTCCTGACTTGCATTCCTGACCTGACTTACCTCAATGATAGACTGTAACCTGGAAGTTTAAGATGAAAGAAACCCCTTCCTCTCCAAGTTGCTTTTGATCATGATGTTTGTCACAGCAACAGAAAGGAAATTAGAGCACACGTTCACAAAAGAAACTCAGCGCTTTCTGAGAGACAAGTGCTCCTTTTAAATATTCCTCACAACAACAACTTACTATCTGATACTATGTTTTGCATTTTAGTTAAGTACTTTGGATTAGGCGCCATAGGAAATATATATAAAATCTTTCCATAAATATCCAGAGGAGTTAATTTTCAAAATAATAAATCCTACTAACTTTAATTTGTAAAAATATAATCAAATGGAATTTTTAGACTTATTTCTCATTTGTTTGCTAAATTTTCTTTACTTTGAGAAAATTTGGAAAACTAATAACACCAGAAGTTTCTTTTATGAAGTGATCATGGAATTTTTTTTTAATTATAGTATGTTAGTCCTAAAATAACTTTCATCCTTCAAGAAGATACCTATCTACTGGTTCACTCTTGAAATAACTCAAATATAGAAATCTAAACATCTAGTAAAGAGCTGTCATGTAAACAAAAAGGAAAACATGAAAAATGAACTTTCAGCTACCAGTTCGCAATTAGCAAAGCTTTCGATTACGTAGTCAGTAACAAAGACAAAAGCACACGTTTCTTAATTTAGAAGAAATCTGTAAGGCAAACCAGGTATGTTTTCAAAGGCAGTTGTTAGGTTTTGTCCCATAATAAATCTCCTTTCAGATAATATTTACACATATGTGATACTTATTTTCTCATAAAACATCATTTTAGTGCAGTTTTGTCTAGAGCTATATTTATGTGACATGGTTATTGTGCATAGTATGTGTTCATGTGTGTATGTATGTACATGTGAATGTGCACATGTATGTACATGCATGGGAAGGCCTGAGGTCATCATCAAATGTCTTCTTTGATTTCTTACCACCTTATTTTTTGGGACAGACTCTTTTGCTGAGCCTGGAAGTCATGGATTCAGCTAGGTTAACTGAACAATGAACTCTAAGGATTCGCCTCTCACCACCAGCCCAGCACACAGGTTAGAGACATGCTGCTGCCACTAGACTGTGACATTTGTGCTGGGGATCTGACCCCAGGTCTTCCTGCTTGTACAGTAACTACCTACTGGACCATCTTCCCAACCCCTATTTTGTATGCTTTTTATATTGACAGTGACACTGTGAAGAGAATGAAGACTTCTGTCTTTTAGGGACACAAAACTCAGGCTGAAAAGGGCTTTGAGGTCTCACAGAATGGGATTCAAGCTCCCGTTTGGGTGCTTAATTCCTATGTGATTAAATGCAGTTTATTTGCCTGGTAAATAGGACATGTTTGAGAAATACAGCTGCTCTGATGGTGTTGGGTGAACCTGCCTCATAAGAGCTGGAGAAGTAAGACTCTGTTTCAGTTTCTTATTTATTTTCCATTTATCACATTTACTGAGCATTTATTGGGTACTTAGCACTAAGCAACGTATCACACAGTAATACAAGACAAGTCAGGCTTTCTATGTAGTTATCTCATGAAATATGTACCTAAGAAAGGCTCTTGTCCTACAAAAAGCTTATTTTACAACTTCCTAAATCTAGCTAATCTTTTAGTTGGTCATTATTTATGGCATTTAGCAGTTCACAGACCCGAGACAGGGAGATGAATATATGCTCTGATACCAAAATGTGGGTGCCCTAGTTCTGCCTTGGGATCTTGAACAAGCTGCTCAGTTATTTTAAATTAGTTTCCTATGAATCAATTCATGATAACAAGAACATTTAACAGTAATTCTATGGATCTAATAGAAGTAATATAATAAACCATGGAGTCTGGCTTACCTTAGGATTTCAATAAACAGTTACCTGTCATAGAAGTTTATTAAAACATCTATGATGTTGGTTGGCTTTTTTGTTTTGTTTTGTTTGAAAGATTTTCACTCTGTATCTCTAACTGACCTCAAATTCACTATGTAGACCAGGTTGGCCTCAAACTCATAGAGATCCACTTGCCTCTGCCTCCAGCGTGGTGGGATTAAATGTGTGTGTCAGCATGCCCTGCTGTTTTCATCATTTTTAATGCTACAGGTAATTGAAGTACATAACACGTCTCTTCATTACATATTCATTAAATATTTATTAATTCTCTTCTATTTCCTTTAAATTCTCATCCAGGCCCACAAACCTATCAGCACGATGACGTGTGGAACATGTTCTTAGGAACATCTGATGGGGAGCAACACCAAAGCAAAGGGAGCAAACATGTGCCGACAGGACCACTGAACGCCATTACTGAACAGGATGTGCTTGTGTCTATGCTGGAGTCCCCTCCCACACTGGTGCTTCTGTCAGTGTCTCCCACACCCATCACTGGTCACAGAACATGTCACCTTGGACCCTGTGATGTTAAGGTTGTACTAATGCCTCTCAAAGAAGGCAACTTCCTAGACCAAGCCTTAGGAACCGACCACAAGATCTGGGTCAGAGTTGGAAACAAAAATGAAAGAAAAGAAAGGTCAGAATAACTTTATCCCTCTTTGGGGGAAGTCTGCCCCAACATCTTAACAGGCAAGAGAAGTTTGCTTTTTAGTAAGTTACGTCTAAGTCAACTTTGAAAACTTTGGAAATACTAGAGATTCAAGATGGAATTCCCTTGAGAACAGCAAAGGCAATCTTCGACAGGCTAAAGACCAAGCAAGAATTGTTAAAACTACTTTCGACAGACCTGCTAAATATTCACTTAGAAAAAATAACCCTTAAAAGGGCATACTGCCCTTTTACACTTCCCCCCAAACAGATGCGAACCTACTTAATGTGTTGTCAAGTTGGCTTATGGAAATGACTATTTAGCATGATACGTACATTAAAGAACAAGCAAGCAGGTAAGGGAAAGAAAGGTTATTGAATAAGGTCATTTTTGCCTTTTGGAGTGAGATGATCAAAACCAGGTTACACTAGCAAATTAAGCATCGAGCCAAAATTCTGAAAATTTTGTCCATTATCAAAATAATTCCCTTAAATAGCAGATCCTTGAGATGTGTAGAATTTTTATATATTTTTAAGTGCATCACATACTTTTTTCAGATGGTCCTGTATTTTGGAGTCCATATCTTCAATGTGTGAGATCACCTTGTTGACACATGGAGAAGGGATGTTCACCAAAGCACAGCTGTGACGTCGACTTGGGTAGCTGAAGTAGATGCCTTTATTTACCTCTGCAGGTGTAACAGAGAGGGCAAAGTCAGGGGTAGGTACCGAGTAGCACACAGGGTGTTCAGGACATGCAAACAAATGCTTGGCTGTATTTGTACTAATACTCTAAATACTTCTTTGATAGATATATCCAAAAATATAGAACAAATTTACCAAAACTTAAAAGGTATAATACAAACCCACATAGGAAAACTGGGTAATATAATGAATAAAAATAAGAGAAACCTAAATGAAACGTCAAGCAAAGTTAAAACGTTAATGTGGGGCTGGGGAATCGGCTCAGCAGGTAAAGCACTTGCTATGCAGGCTTGACTGAGGACCACAGTTTGGATCCCCAGAATCCATGTAAATGCTAGGCAGACTGGATAGCACCCGTAATCTCAGTGTAAGATAGACAGAGATGGGGGAATCCCCTGGAGCAGGCTGGCTGCACAAGCTGGAATCAGTGGATTCCAGAATCAGCGAAAGACAGAGCAGCAATGAACAAGGCAAAGAATGAACAAGGAAAAAACCTAGTATCAGCTTCAGGCCTCCACACACAGGTACATGCATGTGCACTCACACACAACAACACACAAAATATACAAAATATATACATGCAAAATATATTTATGTGATCCATAGCATTATCAGCTAAGCATTGGCAAAATAGGAAACCAGCTAGTCCATTATTGCAACAATCCCAAATCACCTGCAAATGACTCTGAAGTATATTCTAAATTTGCCTTTCAAAGAGAGTCCGTGTTTTCCTATGTAAATAAGGTCCATTCTTCATGCAGTGAGGGTCCTCCTGAAATCCTGCCTGGGTTTCTTCTGCTAAAAAGATCAATAAATAAAAGCAGATATCCTTCATCGCCACAATAACCTCACTTTCTAGCTTCCATTTCCGAAAATTGGAGTCTCACCTGAGGAGTGTTTGATGCTCTCACTACAGTGTTTAGGGCAGACTCATCATAAAATCTCCTCAGTCTGATGTGCCTCAGTGATTTCCATCCTGCCTTGCCCTGAATCTTGGCTAAAGGTTTCAGAAGGTCAGCGAAGTTGTCCATGAAATTCTGCCACAAAGTGCTTGCTTGCAGTTCTGTCACTCCGAGGACTCCACAGGGTGCCTGATAGTCACAGTCATGATCTTACCCAGAGGCACAGGATGTACTCAGTGAAAACAGTGCGCTGTTCCCAAGTCAGTTCGCCACAGGGAACAGAAATGTGATGTCCATGTTGTAGCCCATGTCTTCACTTAACCTGTGTTTCCCCACGCCCTCTGTGCAGTACACAAAGTAACGGGTTTCATCATGACTTTTCATTTATCATCGTGCACCCTTCACAGTCCCGTCCTGATCACCCTTCTTGTCCCTTTCATCCTCCACCGGCCTTCCTTCTCCACAGCAAACACACACACACATGCACACACACATGCACACACACACACGTGCACACACGTGCACACACACATGCACGCATACATGCACACACAAATTTATGTGCAATCAAATCTAGATTCCACATGAGTAAAAACGTGATCAGACTTTTAAATATCTTTTCAATGAAATTTTGTAACGCTCTCTAAAAGTACAGTCGTTATAAAAAGACATATCTATGATCAAAATTTTGATTCTATGCAGATGTGCTATGTATATAAATCACTAACAAAACTGACACTTTTATAACTAATACTAACATTTTTAAACACAGATAATGTTTCGGACATGTGGCCAAACTAGGCACTTTGCCTTCCTTCCTTCCTTCCTTCCTTCCTTCCTTCCTTCCTTCCTCCCTCCCTCCCTCCCTCCCTCCCTTCCTTCCTTCCTTCCTATTTAATGAGTGTTTTGTCTCCACGTATGTAAGTACACTTGTGCATGCTACACCCATGAAGGCCAGAAACGGGCATTAGATTTCCTGAAACCGAGGTTATTGATGGTTGTTAGCCACCGTGTGGGTGCTGGGAACCAAACTTAGGTCCTCTCTAAGAGCAGCCAGTGCTCTTAACTGCTGAGCTTTCTGATTAGCCCCAAGCTAAGTATTTTCAATATCATCATCATATATTATTTAATCATCACAATGATCTTACAATAATCATATTACTGTCTTGACTTCACAGATGAGAAAATTAAGGCTTGGAATAAAAAACAATCATAACAAGCCTACAGAATTGGTATGTGGAGAGCTTAGTGTGAGCTTTGCAGTATATGTTACACTATAAGTGAGAACTGAATTTTTTATGGTATGGAATTATAAATGAAACTGTCCTACAATACATTTCTCTGGGCACTTCCAATATTTCACATATTGCTAATTTTGAATATTTAATGTTCCTTCAAAATTATCAGTGTTGATATTCTGAAGTGTTGTGGTTTGCTTTAACCATATTCTGCATATAGATACTGTGCTTATTTTGGGTGTTGCAATCTGTGTTTCCTCCTTAATTCATACACAAATATACATGTTCGTCCCTGTGACAGTCAAAGGGCCAAAGATGATAAAAAGGTGAATGACATATTGATCTTCCATCCAAACATCTTGTTAAGGATATGTTGTCCTTTTCTCTAGCAATCAGAAGGTCTTGATACACATCTGGGAAGAAAGCAGCTGCCTTCTCCACAAGAACACTGGCTCTGCTTCATTCAGTGCCAGTCAGACAAGGACTGGAAGGACTCACCTCACATACTTTTTGACTGTGAAACTTTCAGCCTCATTTTGCAAATACTAATCAACTTCAACACTGCTTCTGAAAAGGATAAAGCTTTCAATCTAGCAGACGAAGTGACACAACATATTATTAAACTGACTTTTCACTAAAATCTGGAAAAGCATGCCATCATACATAGACCAAGACAGGCCTAGAATTCAGAAGTTCTTATTGATGCTTTTAGCTAATATGTGCATGGTAGGCCTTAAAACGTTTCATTTCTTTTTCATCATCTAGAGTTTAAGAGGCACTTGATACAATCCAAAGATCTCTGGACTATAGGTACCGACGCATTTTTTTCCCCTTTGGCTGGTTACTACCTGTAATTAGTCAAAACTTAAGTTTCCAGACATCAGGTCACTTGTTGATGAATGGTTGGGCTGTTGGGATCTTTTCACCCAACATTCCATAGTATAATGAATTAACAATTTTAGTTGAATATGAATTTATGTATCCCTACCTTATACAGCTTGTGTATAAACAGTCAGGACAACTAAGAATTAAATGGAGGGTAGTGTTCACCTTGATTCTAAGCATGTCCCCACCACCAGTTTTTGGATAATTTGTCTGTGGTTGGAACTAAACTTAGTGATCCTCCTGCCACAACCTCCTGAGCACAATTTCAATTACACACCAGCACACCCAGCCCTAAACTCTGATATTGCTGCTCATAATCAATGTGTAAGAGACAAGATTTTCCTGACCATAAACCAGAGTTGTGGTTTGCTGAGTCTCTCTAACTAGAAGCTTCCATTTGAGATAAAAATAAGACCTGACTGACTTTGGGGAAATGAAGTACAAATGTTGTGTTTATAAATTGTCAACCGTCCCTGCTCTGCGACTTTGATTCACCCCATCACTTCTTTCTTCTGCTTTTACTGTGAGCTTCCTTTATATCTGTTATACTGATTATTCTATCTTTTTAAAAATCTCAACACTTCAAAAAGCTTAGCTGAATATTTTTTCACTTCATTATTCATCTAATGTCTTGATCTTCTTTTCAAAGTGTGAAATAAGTTAGTGTTCTTGACTTTAAAACTGATTTCTCTCAAGACAAAGTACTTTTTATGAAGGATGGTTAAAGTATCACTTACTGACTGTACAGTGATATTTGCATTGAACCTTGCATTGTGTGGGAGGGGACACTGAATGGTAGGATAATACACACAGACTTTCAGAGCTGGCGCTGACTGGGGATGCTGCTCCAGCCTCACGCCTTACCCATCCTCATCAGTGTTTACTTACCCTCATCCCCTACAGTCTCTGAAATCTGAAGTTTCAAAACATGTAATTTTGCTTTTTTCAAGTAATCACACAGCTTCCAACAGCTTTGCCTACTACCGCCTGCATTCCTATTGCATGATCACTAGGATTTCTCTTCAAATGCACTTTACCCCGGCAGCCACAATATTCCCATGCCCGCCTCTCATCTTCAAATGAAAATTTTTGCAAAACTATTCAGATCCATCCATCTTACTTTGTTCTTTCCCCAGGAAGAATTACTTCAGACTTTTGAGGGAACAGGTTAAGCCTTTTGTTTCTCTGTATTAGATTATGTCAAATTTGTGTGCATCATATTTATCTGTTTTCTTATTTATCGCCACATGACGGTACCTTTGTATCTCATTCAAAGTGGTAATTATATGGATGTGTGTGTGTGTGCGTGTGTGCGCGTGTGTGTGCGTGTGTGGTGTGCATTTTAAAAGACATTAACTTGGATACTTGAAGAGAGGATTTCATTGTACTAAAATATTACCTTAATAAATGTGCTCTCTGAAAATAATCACTAATTGTATCCTAGTGAAAGAGAATTCAATACTTGCATAATTCTTTTTCTTTGTTAAGTCAGTTTGGCAAAATGTTGTAGGCAATGAAAATTGGGCCAGCAAGATGGCTCAGAGATAAGGGAGCTTGCCACCAGAACCGACTACCTGAGTTCACCCCCTAGGACCCGCATGGGGGAAGGAGAGTATCTCAATTCCAGCAATTTGTGCTCTGACCTCCACATACATGCTATGGCATGACCCCACATACTAAATACATAAATGTAAAAAAGAGGGTAGATAATCTCCTAAATAATGTTCCTTAACTTAACTGTATATTTCTCCACAAATGGAAGGTTGATGACGGGTTAACAATATTCCAGTACAAAATTCCTGGGTTTGTTTCTCTTTGCCTCCAATCTCTTTGGTTTTAAAAGGTCTGGTTTTATTTCAGTCAGCAAGCCAGAGGTAGTCTTGAGGCACCTACCTCATTTGTCAACCCAGTATCTTTAAACTTAACTTCATTTTTGTTTCTGTGTTTGTTTGCTTGTTTGTTTTTTGAGACAAAGCTTCATTATGTATCTTAAGCTTCTCTCAAAAGTTAACAGTAATCCTGCAACAAAGGTTATGAGCTCCAACACACCTGGTGAATTTCCCATTTTTCACTCAAGACCTTAGGTCTATCTACAGAAGCTGTCCTATTGGAATAAGCTCAATAACAAATCTTGATTTCTTTATAATAGTTTTCAAATCCTGTAATTTTCTCATAATATTTATCAACTGCCTTTCAAACTCAGTAATCTTTGGTGGGGATGGCTTTCATCTAAACTTTAACCAAAGTTAGTCTCATGTTCTGAGATGATTTAAGACTTTCTCGGCTTGTTTATAACATAAACAAGCTTATTAGGCCTTGAGCTCCTTTTGTAACCTAAACATACAGCTTTAGTCCCTCTTGACCCTGCCTTGCCCTTGACCTAGAATAATGTTTGCATGTGTGTGTGTGTGTGTGTGTGTGTGTGTGTGTGTGTGTGTGTGTGGTGAAAATATCAAGCACTACAAGCAGCAAATATTCAAATATTCTTAAGAAGTGACAGAGCATCTCATTTACACAGTAAACAACAGATGGGACTAGATGATATCTTCTGTTTACGGCTGTACATGCTGCTGTTCTGGGGCAGCAGAGACCAGAAAGGGAAACGCCTTCTCTGATAGGGGTCATTTTTCCCTTCCACGTTTCATACTGACTTAGCATTTTAATAAAGCGAGAGCAGAGGGCAGAGCTTCATGAAAACTCTGAAGGAACCAGTTCTCAGAACAGACTGGGCCCCACTCTTGGTTTGAATGGTTGCTGGGAGTCATGCTGTTTTTCTTCAGGAATTTCACTTACAGTCCTTCATAGATCCTTCCTGGATCCATCATAGACCTTGTTTTTATAAGCTTTTACCATAATAATACTCAGTTCCCACATGAATTTCATAGTCAAATAATCTTACATTGTCTTCTCAGACTTTGCAAGAAAAGAATTTAGTCATGTGACATCAGACAAGAGACTGAAAAATTAGGAAGTTCAGATTCTTGATCCTTAAATTCAAAATATTCCCCAACTGTGTCTCAATAATTTTCCACTTTATTTAAACCAACTAACTTTACATTTTTAATCCTCTCTGCACTGTGCTCAGAGTAATCTTTCTTGTGCTTTGTGCCACCATCTCCCTGTCATTTGACACATTCTGTTCTACATGCATAAATCCACTCCTTGATTTTCATGCACACATGCATCTGTTAAGATGAGATCAACTCTGTCCATACCCTTGCACGTTTCTCATAATGCCTGGAGAGTATATGAATTGGCCTTCTGTAGAACACTGAAGATACATGCTCCCATGGAATTCACATGGTGTCAAATGCCCCAGGCCATTCTGCTGATGCTCTATTTAGCATTATTTTCTGTCAAACATAAAATTGATGTGTACATTCACATTTTACTTGGCCTATAAGGTTATATAGTTCCTGCCAGGGTCACTTCTTAAATGCCTCTGAACACTAACAGAACATGGATAGTCCTAGTGTCTTGAATTAATTGGTTCATGAATCATCCATTTGCTATTTGAAAAATCTCTCCAGTCTAATTTTTGTCTATAGATGACTGTAGGCAATAAACTTTAAACCAAGATCATAAAATTACATTGAAAATTTGTATTTGACAAAAAGAAATGAAAGAACTATCATGATAATTTATTCAAATTGTATTCTGTTAAACCCACAATCCCCAGAACAGAAATTCCCAACATCAAGATTAAAAGGTGTACATTTATTCATCTGTTCCCACCTCCTTCTCCACACAATATTAAAAATAGTTGCAGAGATAAAGTTTACAGATTCTCACTACTAAACAATATCTTACTTCCAGCCTTTATAGACCCAAAATATATGTGCCATTTTTGCTTATAAAAGACATTCCCAGTCACCAGGAAATGTGTTATCTAGTGCCTGCAAGTCCTGCATAAGCAGCTTTAAAAAGATTATGAATTCATTTCTGAAATTATACGACAAATCTTACAATCCAAGATGGTCGTTAGCAGTACATTGTTGACACACTACCATTAAATATTATATTCTTAACATCTATTGTTACTCAGTTAATAACAATATGTAAGATTTATTTCTTAATAAAAATATAGATTGATGGGGCTGGAGAGATGGCTCAGTGGTTAAGAGCACTGTCTGTTCCTGCAGGAGACCGAGGTTTGAATCCCAGCACCCACATGATGGCTAACAACCATCTGTGACTCCAGTTCCAGGGGGCTCTGACACCCTCTTGTGTCCTCCACAGTCACTACACAACATGGGTGCACTCATTCGCACGTGCAGGCATACACATAAAAAATAAATAAATAAAAAAGTTTGGGGCTGGAGAGATGGCTCAGCAGTTAAGAACAGTGGTTGTTCTTGCAGAAGACCTGGGTTCGAATCCCAGCACCCACATGGCAGCTAACAACTGTCCATAACTCCAGTGCCAGGGGATCCGACAGCCTCTTCTGACCTCTGTGGGCACTGCATGACACGGGTGCACTTACCTACATGCAGGCAATGCACGCATACACATAAAATAAAAATAATAAAAATTTTAAAAGTTTTTAAAAAACATATAGATTGACATCACAGACTAGAGAGTGAACACAAACAACTTATACCATCTACTATGATTTATACATGGCCCTCACCTTCAGTATTTGTCATTTTACTTTCATGAGTTTCAGCTGCTTCCTTAGAGCGAGTGAATACTGCCCATCTTTGTAATTTGATATTTTCTTTAAAAAACAAGTGAAAATATTTCAGTATGCCATTCATACACATTTTGAAACAAGTAATGCAAGATAAACTAAAATGCTATATTATGAAACTGCTGCTTTTGAAATAAAAACAATTAAAAACAGATATTAACCAAGACCACAGTAGAATATTTTCCCATGTTTCTCTGTGTTGTACAATAGGTTTAACTCTCTCAAGAAGGTAGTCATAACAACGTGAAGCTATTACAAGTACATAGGTAGGTCATGGTGTGCTTCTAAAGAAACTAGTTCAATCCATGCTACTAAGAGAAAATAAACAGCAGGGCAGACAATCACATGTATGCTTTGCACTTTTGGTACTTTTAAGAGGTAATGTATATATTGATAAAATATTTGTGGATATGAATAAAATTTCTAGATCAAGGAAGTATTAGATGGGTCACCTTGGAGAGAGGAAATGAAGAGAAAGAGGAATCTTATCTTCCATTTTAAAATTTCTGAATTATTTCAAAATTCTCAAAGATAAAAGTATATAATTTTTTGACAAACATAAAGTTGAACTGATCTATAATATAAGCAATTCTACTCCTGAGTTTTACTCAGCATAAAGAGAATCTCATCTCAGAATACTATGATAGATTTATTCCCAGAATGTAAGCTAGGAAAAAAAAAGAGTCAAATCTGATGAAAACATAAAGAAAAGAAATTCGGTAGCTGTGTAATGGTATAAATACTAAGCAATCACAAAGAACAAGTCATTCCACTGTTAGAAAGTTCTGTAAAAGGCAAATCTAAACCAAGTCTGATACACACCTATAAACCCAGCACTTGGGATGCTAAGGCAGGATTGTCATGAATTCAAGAATAGAATGGCCTACTTAATGAGACATTGTTTCCAAACAAAACAGGAAAAAACAAGGCATAAAACTGTAATGGTAGATATTAAAGACTGACTGCTACACTTATGGGCCTTTAAGGAGCAATAATGTTTCACAGAGACTGGAATATTGGTTTCATGCATGTGTACAGTTACAAATACATTTAACTGTAAATGCAGGGTCTGAGTATTCTACAGTTTATACATTTTAAACAAAATATATTAGCTAAAGGTATTAAAACATTTTAGTGACTGCACATATACAAACACAAGATTTAAATACTTTGGGAATATTTCATTGGAATATGTTATGCAAATATACATTTTATAAAATTATAAGTAATATATATTCGAAAGCAGACTAATGTATAATAAAACATGATGAAACTAGGGTTGGAGAGATGGCTTAGCAGTTAAGGCCACTGTGTGCTCCTGCAAAGGACCCAGGTTCAATTCTCAGCAACCACATGGTGGCTAACAACCATTTGTAACTCTAGTTCCACGGGATCCGACAGCCTTTTCTGACCTCTACGGGCATTTCACAACTCGAGTACACTTACACGCATGCAGGCAATACACTCAAACACATAAAAAAAATTTAAGAAATTAAAAGATACGATGAAACAAAACTTATCCATGACAAAGTGAGGAGATCTAGATATTTCTAAAAAGTCATGAAGAATATTCATGTAAGTGTATCCACTATTCTGTAAGTATGAATTATATAAAACAATAAAGGAAATAAAAGAAATGAAGTTCACCATATGCTATCATAATGAGTATTTTTAAAGAAAAGATAAGACACATTCACCAAATTTTACAAGCACAAAGATACCTGAATTTTTCCACACTTACAATTGTGTCAAAGACAACAAATATATGACAGGAAAAAGGAGAAGAGGAAATTGAAGATATTAAGGATACCTGCAATTGTTTCAGCTCTCGCCTTCTCCCTGATAGCCTTTATTTCTAGACATGATTTACCTGCAAAATGCAAGATAAAGTATTAGTCATGCTCTGTAGTGCACTGGGCAGTTAAAGAAGAAAACAAGTACCAAAAATGGGAGCTAGAGATGAAGTGGTTGGGAGAACACATGAATGAGACACAAGAGTCACCATCACAGTCATCTTGGGAGGCTCACATGGTGGAAGGAAGAAGCTGGGGATGAGTCTTGAAGAGAGTCTCCCTTTCCCATTTTATCCCACCCGGGTACCAGTTCCTGGGATGATGCTGCCCACACTGAAGGAGGGTCGGTCTTCCCTTCCTAGTTATGTGTTTCTGGAAATGTATCACAGACACACTCAGAGATGGGCCTCATTCACCCTTTAGCAACTCCTCCTTCCAATCAATCTGACAGTTAAGATGGACCATCACAGTGAGCCAATAAGTGTGTCCAGCAAAACTGCCACTCCAGGCTATCGGCAATAGCAAAATCCTGTGAGCATTCCCAGACTGTGAGAAAAAAATTCTGTCATTTCCGGCTGCTGAACCCAATAGGAGATGACCATCATACAACAATAATCACAGGAAACTTTGACACAAATGTTGGCAGGTTAGCTTTGAATATAGTAGCTTTTTAATTAATACTAAAAAGTGTGAAAGTAAAATAGACTAACAGGCTCATGTGCTCGTGCTCTGACTAGCACATTACTGAAAAATCATGGTAGAGGTAGGGAATGTGGGAAGCATATGTAAAGCATATTAAGTATACTTTCTAAGTATGAGCTGGTAATTAAATAGCATTCCTTTAAGTCACATGTTAATGAAATGGAATGGCAGGGCCAGAAAAGCAGCCCAGCTAATGTTGGTACTAATTATAATATGGATATAATATATTCATATATTATATGATATACCTTATATAATGATTCATATAATATGGATCAAATGTACAGCTTCTAAGAAAGAGGTAAGGTATGAATTAACATTTGAACACTTATTATAATAACAAGATTTCTCCAGTATTAGTAAGGACAATAAATAATCCTTACTTCACATACATATGCATGTGTATCTAAATATAAAAATATGATGGAAATTAGAATTTACTAGACTGTTTTGTAATTGTAAATGTTCTAAAATTACCAATAGTAGATTTTTTTTTGAATAATAAAATGAAATCAACATGTTTTATACAATATAGAAAATGATTCAGAAATTATAAAATTAGCTGATTCAGAAAGTTTAAAACTAAATGATGAGAAAATATGTATTAGGTAAACGAACATTAAATACAAGGAACATGATCCTGGTGTCTGACATAGAACATGGAATTTAGATCATAAAATAAGAAAGAAAACAAGGATACATTTTTCATAATACTATATACTAAAGGCCTCTAAATAACGGAAAATTATTCTGTGACCTAATATTTCTGTGCCAATAACATGGAGGCAACTTTGAGGGAGGAAAAGAGCAAATAATAAGGTAAATAGGTCATTTCAGTCTGATCGGGATCCCAGAGGTAAACATTACTAAGGATGTATACTGGATCTTGTAATCCATGACTTAGATCTCACAGATGTTATACTAATAACCAAAACATTTCAAAGTCCTAAATACTATGTGGGTCAAGGAATGAATCAACATCATATTATATCTCAATGATTATTGTGGGTCTATAATACATATTCTCCCTTGGGGAGTCACAGAGAGACTCCAAGGGAACAGAAACAGAAAATCATGTTAAATCTTGAAAATACATGAATAGCACACATTCTGGCAATTCTACTAAATAGCATTTGTTATCTGGAGGGTTCTTATCTAGGAAAAGCTTTTATCAGGATATTTTTGACTTCCAGAATTATAGTAATATAAAATCTTAGACTCCATGTACTTAACAGGGTCTGAGTTCTTGAAAAACACCATGCTCGCTATAGAATCATCATCAGAGAAAGCAAGTGTCAACCTTCTACTAGAACCAATGTAGCTTATTATATTGTCTTATTTTACTATTTTTAATTTCAATGATGGGGGTAAAACCCACATGCTAAGCTGGGTCTGCTATTGAGGTCTATCCCCAGGCCAGAGATTTGCCTCAGGAAAGTTTCTACCATCTTCCAACAGCAGTAAGACAAGAATATTCCAGATCCAAACTATAGCATGAAAGCTCATAATATATATTTTCACCATACATTGTAATAATGTTACTAAAGAGAAATACAGATGCATTATCAGCATTTTAATTCAATAAAAGTGATATGCTTTGTAATGTAATTTTATATTTAGTAAAAGTGCTGAGTAAAAATGAAAATACTACATTGTGTAAAAAGTCATGGTAAATGTAAAATTGAAATTAATTATATTATAAAACATTTTCCCAAACACTATGTAACTATGAGTCATATGAAAACACAGTTGATTAGCATGTATCAAAAAATACAGCCACAAAAATTTGGTCATTTTATTTATTTGTTTCAACTGAGGACACAGAATAATTGCTCAATTGGTTGTTTATTTGTTGCATAAAGGGAATTTTAGCTTGACCAGAGTAGTTTATCGTGACTAGCAGAACATCAGAGAATGCTTTGCTTGGGTTGGTAGGAAAAACTTCGTGCCAAATACAGTCCCACAGAAGTTAGTAAATAAGGCCTCACAGTACGTTGTGATCATCAGAGAAAAAGAGCTCTCTAAAAGCTTGGTATACAATAAGATTCAGTACATCATTATCAGAGATTGCTTTGCCCCTAAAAGTTTAAAATCTGCCAAGACACAAGGATAAACACTGTGGTCTGATAGATTCCTGTGGCTTAAACACAGACATTTCAGAGCCCTGTTTAAATGAGCTCAAAGCTCTGTGTGCTGGTTGGCTGTCTAGACAGGAAGTGGGGCGTTTAGGGAGGGTGTGTTGCCAAAGACATCAGAGCAAATTTGAACTGATCATTGCTGTTGATGTTAGCACTATAAATATTGTTTTCAATGTCATCCATAGACAAAAATCCTACACTTGCTAATCAAGCATATTTTTCAAAGACAATTCATCAACTGCCACTTTCTAGAAATTTCCATTTCTTATGCCTTTGTAGATAGAGCCTGTTATCACAGAACACTTATCTCTCTGAATCAGGCATTATGTGGTGTTCTATGACTGTGTATATCACTCTGTTACACAGAATGAATCCGGGCAATCTAAGTTATGATTAATATGATAAATTTTGTAGCTTTTCCTTACATACCAGTACAGACTAGTTCACTGTGTTCCAGCAGAGTATAAATAGGCATTGTCAAGTCATTCAAAGGAAAGTCAACAGTTCAGCCCTCCTAAGCCCTGGAATAAACTACAAGCCTTAAAATCAATTCAAAGACTTTCAGTGCTTTTTTCACATATTTAAACATGAATTACATATCGATGGGATTTGACTACCCTATCTTTTCCAAATTACACCTTTTGAGAAAATTATCTCATATGAATAAACTGGTCCATTTTTGCATCTAAAACTGGGCTAAGTTTTTTTTATTTTCACCTAAAAGAAAACTTTTTAAATTTAAACTTGGTTATATAGGGCTGGAGAGATGGAGCAGCAGTTAAGAAAACTGACTGCTCTTGCAGAGGACCCAGGTTTGATTCCCAGCACCCACATGGTGGCTAATGACCACCAGTAACTCCAGTTCCAGGGGATCCAATACCTTCTGACCTCCACAGGCATTGCACAGCATGAGTGCACTGACATATATGCAGGCAATGTACTCATACACATAAAAAATAAATTTTTTAAAAACTTTACTATATAATGACATTTTAAAAATTAAAATTGTTAAAGAGAATCAAGAGTCAAAAAAACACAAAATTATTCAAATATTCAGAAAATTAAATGTGATGTTGGGATAAAAGTCATCTCATACTTAGTGATTTTTTTTTTTCCTGTGACAGGGTCTCTTGTAGGCCCAGCTGGCCTAGAACTCCTATGTAGACCAGGCTGGTGTGGATCTCACAGAGATCCATCTGTCTCCACCTCCTGAGTGCTGGGATCAAAGGCGTGGGCTACCACGCTCAGCATGTTTTTATATAAAATCCATTGTGCCATCAGTTCCCAATGACTTTACTTTGTAGTCTTGAAGAAGATGATGGTAATTAATTACGGCCATGGTGCCAATCGTTTTTGCCCAGCACTGCCCTACTTTGCACTGTGACTCTGTAGCATCTTTCACTGAGATAGGGATGCCCTGGACTACTTTTCCTTCCCTCTGAGAGTCAGGTTGAACTTAATTCTTCAGTCTAACAATCTTGTGAGGTAGTGACACGGCTCAGCTTTGACCAGGTTGTGAAGAAGAAATGATGCATTTCTCATGGGACTGGATTAGGTCCCTGCCACACAGTCTGTTAGACAGGGGTGTTGTTGTTGTTGTTTACGGGCTGCCCTGGGATTTGTCTCTCTTCCCCTTGTGCTTGCTTCTCCCATCTGTTTTGAACATGCGCTGATGTAGAAATAGGCAAGGTTGGGCTTCTGAGCTTCCAGAACTATGTACCAGAATGAAATCCTTCATAAACTACCTGGTGTCTAGTATTCTGTTATAGCAACAGGAAGCAGATCAAGTCAAAGTCTAAGCTCCCATCCCTAGGTTCTGAGTTGATCTTGGGATTTGCCTTGGCTGAGAAATGTGGCATAAATGGCAGTGGACGGGTGCCAGTTCTGAGCACTGGCCTTCTGGGCCCTTAGCTCTTTCTGCCACCCATCAAAGCTTGGGATGATGGTTCACATACCTGTAATCCCAGCACTTGGAGACTGAAGTAGGAGTGCACATTTGAAGATACTTAGTATGACTATGTCTGAACAACAACAAAGTTAAAAACCCAGGATATTTTCCCTCAAAACATAAAGTTCACTATCTTCTGGGCTATGACAGACTGTATAGTGTGAGGCTGAGTCACTCCGCTTTATGGGGGAGGGGGGATATAGATGTAACAGTGCACATGCACTGAGCTAGATAGATCAAGAAGGATGTCCAGTTTACCTGAGCTGTATTTCAGAGCATGAATGTCACATTGAGTCCACCCAAGACCAGAAAAATCATCTGGCAGCCTCCTTCATAGGTGAGCTCAAATTAAAGGTTTGAGGCTGTGTGCATCTGCATTTCTTTGTGATGATTGTAATATGGTGTCAGTATAGCCATGGATATCAGATGCAAAGACTGGCTGTCTTTACCCAGCCTGGGGTAAAATCTGTTCTGTGTGGGGACAAAGAGCAAGATATTTGGAGATTCATGGGTCATATGCAATCTCTGTTACAGATCCCTCTGTTCAGTTTTCTTTTCATGCTTTACAAATATAAAAGTTATTCTTACTGTTGTAGTTTGGATGCCACCCTACTCGCTGACAGGCTCACATGTTTGATCACTTGATTCCAACTAGTGGCACTATTTTTAAAGGTTGT